TAAGTGTCCTGCAATGTTTTCAACCTCAATTCAAGCCTCTCCACTTGCGCCGAACGTCCTTGAACTATCTTGGTGCTGTCAGAGACAAATTTTGCAACCAAACCATATTTCTTCTCTTCACGGTATTAAGGTGCAAGTAGGCACAAATCATTGCTAAGGGGAGTAATCAGGTAAGGATATATGGGACTTTAGGGAAGAAACTCAATTTTTTTAATTTCATGTATACTTGCTATATTCTCCACTGTGGTGGCGTTCTTTCCCCAGACTGGTGCACACACAGCTAATTATGGGGTAATTGTTCTGGTGGAGTCTACTTATGTGTAGCGCATAGTATCCCTCATTGTATTTTCTATGATGTGAAAGAAAAATGCTTTCAGGAATTTCCCCTGGGAAGGTTCTCTCTTCCGTGGCAGAATACCTACCCCATCCCCAACACCCCCCTCCTCCAGCTATTGTCTCGTACCATCTTGTGTGGTACATCTTGAGAGCATATAATGAAGAATTTCCTTTTTCCTTACCATTGATTTATGTTTAGGAAAACAGGGTGAATTATATTCTGGAAAGCAAGAGACCTGGGGAAGGAAAAGAAGCCAGAGAGTGATGAGGAGTGAGAAGTAGCTAAAAGAAGTCCTAATTAATTGTTAGGGTCCTAGGAAGAGGGCTGTCTTAGTTAGGGTTTTATTGCTATGAAGAGACACCGTAACCATGGCAACTCTTATAAAGGAAAACATTTAATTGGGGCTGGATTATAGTGTCAGAGGTTTAGTCCATTATCATCATGGCAGGAAGCATGGCAGCGTGCAGCCAGACATGGTGCTGGAGAAGGAGCCGAGAGTTCTACATCTTGATCCACAGGCAGCAGAAGGAGATTGTGTTACACAGGGCAAGGATATCTCAAAGTCTGCCCCCAATGACACACTTCCTCCAACAAGGCCACACCTACTCCAACTGGGCCAAACCTCCTAATGGTGCCACTTTCTATGGGCCAAGCATTCAAGTCTATGAGTCTATGGGGGCCATACCTATTCAATCCACTGCAAGGGGCAAAGCTGCCTTGTGTTATAAATTTCCATTTTGACCGAGATGAACCTCCAACCGCTAACTGTCAGGGACACTGGCTAGCAGCCTGGCTTGCTTTCCTTCTGTGTATATAAACATGTTTTTGTTTTAATCCCAGATGTGGGATGTGGGACTGATTCAGAAGGTCCACAGCAGCAGACTGTTTGCCTTGTGTGGCTCTGAGAGGTGCTCTTTGCCAGCTGCAGACAGTTTAAATCTGAAGACTCTGGAGAGAGAATAAATGCCAGAGCCCAGAGAGTGTTGAGCTCTGAGAAAGAGCAAGGCTGCTGCTTCCTTCCTGCAGCTCCCGGTTGCTGTTGCTGCAGTGAGAAAAGAAGTTGGAGATCTCCTGAAATGAGGATTGGACTGGCTCCAAGGGACCTGATGACCCTAACCAGCAGGGAGCTGCTAAGAGAACTGCACCCCCTCTCCCACTAACCCTTTCTCTCTCCTACCTGGTGTTGGGGTGATAGAAGGGATTGGGGTGGAGTAGGGAGAAAGAGAAGAAATGTAAATAAAAGAGTTTTTAAAAAGCATGCCAACACTTTCCCAGGGGACCTGTGTCTGGGTGCTTTTGCTCTTTTCTTACCCCACCTTGAAGCAGCAGGTGCAGGATGAAGTGAAGGTTAGAGCCCCCATAGAACCAACCTCTTCCAGTTTCCTGTCCTCTGAAGATGCTAGTATAGTTTCACTTTTGTTGCTGTGCTTTAGCAACACCCTTCCTAGGTGGAAAAGGGTTTATGTGGCTTACAGTTCCAGGGTATAGTCCATTATTTCTGGCACGTTGAGGCAGGGGGCAGGAACCTAAGGCTACAGGTCGACAGTGATGAGCAGAGAGATACTGAAGCACTGTTGCTGCCTGCCTCCTCAACTCGCTTTCTTTACTTATATTCAGTGTGGGGGCCCAGCCCATGTAATGGTGCTGTCTTCCCCAGATATGCCCTCAGGCCAACGTGATCCTGATCTAAACTATTCCTCAAGTGACACTTTCTTCCCAGGTGATACAACATGGGGTCAAGCTGACAGAATTAACCAATGTATTACCCTTAAAAGGCTTCCCAAGAATCCTCTCCGCCTTCAGCACCAGGTTAAGGAAGAGGTAGCAGTTCTCAGACCCTCAATTGATTAAATGGCTTTTTTTTTCCCCTCCTGAGACAGGGTCTCATTATGTAGCCCTGGGTGGCCTTGAACTCAAAGAATTGCCTACATTTGCCTCATGGCTGCTGGGATTGTAGGTATGTGCTGGCAAGCTGGGTTGTAATGCAGGCATATGTGCCAGAAGGGGGCAACAGATCTCATTATATTTATAGATGGTTGTGAGTCATCATATGGTTTCTGGGAATTGAACTCAGGACCTTCGGAAGAGCAGCCAGTGCTCTTGACCTCTGAGTCATTTCTCCAGCCTATGTAGTGCCTATTCTTGACCTTGTGTGTGTCTTTGTGCCTGAGTGTGTATACTCACTCATCCATTTGTGTGTGTGGAAGCCAGAAGTGAAAGACCTCCACAATGAAAACTTCAAAACACTAAAGGGAGAATTAAAGAAGACACTTGAAGATGAAAAAAAAGAAAATCTCATGTTCATGAATCCGAAGAGTGAAGAGGTAATCTGTGAAAATGGCTATCTTACTAAAAGTAATCTGTACACTCAATGTACTCTCACTAAAAATTCCAATGCCATTCATCACAGAAATAGAAAACAAAAATCTAAAATTTCACCTGGAAGAACAAAAGACCCAAATTAGCCAAAGCAATTCTGAGAAAAAAAAAAAAATCAAGCTGGAGGTATCACCATACCTGATTTCAACTTACATAACAGGACCTCGGTAACAGAAATGCAATAGGATACTTGAATCTGGGGGTTGTTCTTTCAGTGTATTCCAGACCCTAACACATTGAATTTTAATTTTAATTTCATATTTTCGACAGGGTTTCGCTAGGTAGCCCTGGATGGTCTGGCGCTTGCCTTGAACTCACAAGATCCACTTAACCTCTGCCTCCCAAGTGTTGGAATTAAACGCATGCACCACCACTGCCTGGCTTATATCTTAATTTTAAAATAGTGAAAAATAATCAGCTGTTTGTTATGGTGACAAATACCTGAGATAATGTCAACTCAAAGGAGGAAATATTTATTTTGGCTCAGGTTTTAGTCCACAGTGGCCTGGTTTTGTAACTGTGGGCTTGGCCCAAGGCTGGGCATCATGGCTGGAAACATTCCAGAAGGGAAAGGACCAGGGATAACACACATCCCTCAAAGGCAGTGACCCTCCTCCTCTAACAAACTCCAGTCCTAATGTTTCCTTGGCACTCACACAATGCCTACCCACATCTTCCCCTTTTGTCCATCATAAGAGGTTCTCCCCTATTCTCAAGTTCATTTCACGTTTCCTCCAAAAGTTTTAAATTTTAGTGTTTTCTTCACATTTAGATGTCTGATCTGCGTGAAACCTGGTATTGAGGATTTTTTCATTTGTCCCAATATTTTCTACTTGCTTCATTTCCTTCTGACTTGTAAAGGTTTCTGTCACACATCCAATTTACATTTACGAAAAAGTCTGTTTCCGAGAGCCACCCCCCTCCCCGTTTCCAGACAGTGTCTCACCATGTTAAACTCTGGCTACTGGAAACTCACAGATCCACATGCCTCTGCCTTTCCAGGTATGGGACTAAGTTACACCCTACAATGCCCCATCTGCCTTTTTATTTTCTGTGTAGTCTGGGCTGGCTCAAATTCACAGTTCTTCTGCCTTTGCTCTCTAAGTCCTAGGATGATGGAAGTATGCCACTATACCATGCTCTTACTACACTACAAGGTTTTGTTGTGTGTATACGTGTGTGCTGGCAGTGTATATGTGCAAGTGTGAGTGCCTATTCATACCCAGCATTGGGCATACTGTTGTTTTCCTGTCTGTCTTTAGTCTCTTAAGCTAGGGTCTCTCAGGAAATGTGTAGCTTGCCTGGGAGTTAACAAGTTAATAAGCGATACTCTGTCTCTGCTCCACACAGTTCTGGGGTTAAATGAAAGCCCAGCTACACCCGGCTTTTCTCATGGGTGCAGAGTATATTCATTCTCGATCTCCAAGCACTCTTGCCACTGAACCATCTCCCTAGCTCCTAGATCCTATAGAACTGGTCTAGTACTCCTTCTGTATGTATACGTCCTGTCAAATAGTCCAGCTTTACGACTTTAGTCTTCCCACAAGCTAACTAGGGAGTTGTATGAAGATGGGCATACCATTTGTCTTTTTTTTTTTTTTTAAGTCTCTTAAATGGATAGCTATAAACAAGACCCAGGTCCTTTAAAGGTAGGGAAGCACTCAACAGAGTGTTTAGATTATGATACTAAAACTCATAAAATAGAAAAATAAAAGAACAATGCACCAGGAGCCTTAACTTCATTTATAAAATATACAGTTAGTGTATCATTTTAAAGTCCCTTGTCACTTTGGAAATTGTGATTCTGGCATTTTATTACTTGGAAGCCAGGCAGCTGTGATGGATGGGCGAGAGGAGATCCATGCAGAGCGCAGGGCACCCATGCACCAGCAAATCAAATGTGAACCGCTGAGTGACAGCACAGCTAAGAGTTGGGGCTGGATAAGAAGCAGGCTACAGTGACCTTCACAGTGTTTTCTGGCACGTGGAACGGGACGCAAATGTTTAGAAGTTCCTCGATTTTGAACCTCGGATTGCCCGGGAATACCGCGCCACCGGCCATCCCGCCTTGCCGCTCAGCCCCCGGGACTGAAGACCACAGAGAAGATTCCAGACCCGGTAACATAAACGGGAGAGGGATGGGGCAGCACGAGATGCGCGAGGGTACGGTAAGCAGCCTGCACCCCATCCCGGGCGCCAGCGGTGCTTCTGGGAAACGTAGTCTTTTGCGTTGTGCGGCGCCAGAGGATGCCGGATGAGGGACTACGATTCCCTTCGGTCTTGCGCAAGCTTTGTGCAGCGCGCTTGCGCGGTGTGGGGGACGATGCCGCTATAAAGGCTTGTTTTGCTCCGGGTCCGATGTTGGCGAGCGTGCCCGGGCGGTCTGCTCTCCCGCGGGGAGGCTGGGGTGCAGGTAGGTGACGGCTCTCGGCTTTCCCAGGCAGCGTCCGCGGTTGTCACCGCCTCACGCCTCGGCTCCGAGGCGTGATGGGTGGCGGGCAGCCACGAGTAGCGAGGGTAGTGGGGCCTGTCTCGGCTCGATCTCGTGCGGCCCCCGGCCCCCGGCTGGGTGGCGACCTCGCGGGCTGCGTCGGGGCCCGGGTGTCAGAAGGCGGGAGGGGAGGTGTGATGGGCGGTCGCGGCCGGCTCCACTCTCGGCGCGGCCACCAGGGGGAGCCGGGTTCGCTCTGGGTGGGTCGTGGCTCCTGGGCTCGCCAGGCCCGGGCTGGCGTGGGAACGCCCTAGGGCTGAGGTGCCGGAGCTGGCCGGAGAGAAGCCCCCAAACCCGGGACTGGAGGCTTGACTGCCATACCTACGACGTAAGTCATTATCTTCGGTTTTTTTGTTTATTTCCCCGGACCGGTATCTGGTCGTACGAGACATCACCACGCGTAGCCAAACCGTGGCAGAGCCGGGATGGGAGCCCAGCGCTCCTGTCACCGGTGCCCTTTTCGCTGCTGGCACACGGAACTTTGTGTTCGTCACACCTGGGTCATGTGTTTTCGCACTGATGTGCAGGTGGACGGAGGAACGATTGGGGAAGTTTGAATCCCGCAGGGAGAAATCGATAGGTTTTAGTGGGGTCTCTGGAGTAGTGAAAAGCAGGGAGCTTGGAGGTCCAGGTGGGTTCCGGGGGCGTGGTAGGTGGACATCCTTCAGCTTCCTTGCCTCTGAAGCTCCTGAACCGAGCTTCCTGAGGGGCTGGAAGCCTCCTGGGAGATGTGATAACACCACTTGGAACAGCAGAGCCCGGCTAGTTACAGTTCTCCAGCCCTACGCACTACCCCCCCCCCCC